CTTAGTTCAATGGGGGGGGGGAAACCCTCACCCCCAGAGATTTGGACCCTCACCTCTCTCCAGGCCTTCTGAAAAGCCGTTAAAACCTGGCTGTATCGGCAGGCCTGGGGTTGATGAGCTCCCCTCCCCTTTCGACTTGTGTGGCTGTTGGCTTTTTTAAATGCTTGTCTTGTACTTTTGTGTTCCCTTTCCCCCTTTGAGTTGTTCGCCGCCCTGAGTCCTGCCGGGAATAGGGCGGCATATAAATAAAACAAATGTCAATCTCAATCTCATTTCTCTATTATACACAAACAAATTTGACTAGATATCATTTATATCAAGGTCAATGGCCTATGGATGAATCTGCCTGTTATCCTGGCTTCTGGGAAGCTCCATGCCTATTACAGTGGATCGTCCGTCATCATTCAAACTGAGTTTGGTCTCTCCATCTCCTACGGCTGGTCTTCCTACGTGTCCGTTTCTGTTCCCGAGACTTATTCTGGTTTCCTCTGTGGTCTGGGTGGAGATTTCATTGAGAACCATCATCAGGACTTCAGGACTCCCAACGGTTCTATAGTTCACAATAGAAGCATTTTTGGCAGCAATTGGAAGGAAATGGATTCCCCTTCCTTTTGCGCAGTGGTGGACGTTTCAGCCATCTGCAATGAAACTCAACTAGCCCTCTTCAGATCCCAGAATTACTGCGGGGTGATCAGCGATAGAGATGGGCCATTTAAGGAATGTGGCAACCTTACGGGTTTTCAAAACCACATTGAAAACTGTGTCATGGACCTTTGCGCACATCAGGGGGCTCGCAAGACACTGTGTGAAGCTCTCCAAAGCTATGCTTGGCAATGCCAGGTTCGCGGCATCAATATTCAGCCTTGGAGGGAAATGACGGAGTGCGGTAAGGGAATGTAATTGAGTTGAATATAACTGAGTTTACGGAATATAATTTCAACTGTTCTTGTTTTCTTTCTTTTTTTTATAAGTTTTTTTAATTTTCATACAAATAACCACATGTACAGAATACCATTGCATCATAAACAAACACTATTATGTATTATTCAATATATTAATTCCTCTTACCACCAACCCCCAACAACTATCATTTGCTCTTCTGCTTTCCATACACCATATTTATACCCTATATTTCTCTCCCTGTCTCCTCCTCCCTATCTCATTTCTTCCTTCTATCATCCTTCTCTTCTCTACTTCCCCTTCCTCTCTCCTTCTCCTTTCTCCTCTTTCCACTCCTTCTTTCTCTCCTCCTCTTTCCCCGCCTCTACCCTCACTCCTAACCCCTCTCTTCCTCCTCTTATCTCCCTTCTCTCCTCCTCTCTCTTCATCTCGCTTGCATGGTGTATTTCAGCGTCTGAGCAGGCTCCATTTGATGTTGATGGTGTTAGTAATTTCATTTCAACAAACTCTTCTTGTTTTCTTGTTAGGCAGCCTGCATACATAGGCAGACAGTTACTCTGCATCAGGGGTGTCAAACTCGATTCCATTCAGGGCCGCATCAGGGTTGTGTTTCACCTTGGGAGCGGGGCATGGTCAGGGGGGCATGACTACCATGACATCACTTATGCCGGAGGGGAGCTTGTGATGGCCCAAGCACTCTGTCAGTGGAAACAGACTCCTGAGCTCCGTTTTCGGTTGGGACAGCTTCCTGCAACCCTCTGCCACTGAAAATGGAGCTGGGGGGGCATGTGTGGCCCCCATGAGCTCCGTTTTTGCTAGCAGTGGCACCACAGACTGGTCACTTGGTATTTCCAGGGCAGCTCCACAGGCCAGATCTAAGCACCCCGCGGGCCGGATCCAGGCCCTGGGCCTTGAGTTTGACACCCCTGCTCTACCTCATATACTGATAATGACTTATCTTTGGCCAATGACAAAGATAAGTCATTCTGGCAATCTAAAGTTTGATCCAGACCCAGAAGAAGGAGAAATTGCTCCACATGTACATCTTTAATCTGCATGTGAATTCAATCTTTGGAAGACCAGAGGTTCTCTCCATGTGCGTTACATCTGTCTTATTTTCTTTTGCATAAAGAATTTTCTGGCTCATTTCTTTGGGATTGGATTAAATGGCATGCATATGTCTTTCAGAGTTGACCTGCCCACCAAATAGTTATTACGAGCTTTGTGGCTCCCCCTGCCCCGCCTCTTGCACCCAACCTGCTGGACCTCCAAGTTGCTTCCAGAGCACATGCGTAGAAGGATGCCAGTGTGAAGCAGGGTTTGTGCTGAGTGGCATCGATTGTGTGCCGTGGGAACAGTGTGGCTGCAGCTACAACGAACGGTATTACTTGAAAGGGGAAACCTTCTTCCTGGAAGCAGAAAGTTGTCGAAAAAGGTATCACTGTGATGGCGCCATCTCTGTCATGGAAGCTGATGGGTCCTTCTGCAGCCCGGAACAATTCTGTGGTACTCGGAAGGGAGTATTTGGCTGCCACAACTTGCCAGATGGCATCTGTCGAGTTTCTAAGTTTCTCCACTATACCACCTTTGACGGGCAGCAGTATAACTTCCAAGGTAACTCCATGTACGTCTTGGTGGAACTGTGCCCACTGTCGAAGACTTCACTTTCTTTCAAGGTTGAGGTGAAGAACGAGAAGCAGCCCAACAGCCCTTTATCTGTGCTGTCCAAGGTTATTGTATCAGTGAACGATACTCAGATATACCTGCAGAGGGAAGATCGAGGAACAGTCAAGGTAAATAAAGTTAAGATCAACACCTGTTCTAGGGGATTGCTTTGTTTTTTGTCAAATGAGCCAGTGGATAAATTCAAGTCTTTCTTAACCTGAGCCGAGGTGGTGCAGGGGTTAGGGTGCAGTACTGCAGGCCACTTCAGCTGACTGTTATCTGCAGTTCAGCGGTTCTAATCTCACCGGCTCAA